GTATATTATTACTATATTACTACTATATCAATACTACCTGTATATTAATACTCTATTTGTCATTTATGAGCTTCAGATGGGGGCAGCACAGTGGTGCAGCTGGTAGAGCTGGCGCACCTCAGCAAGCAGGTTGCCCTGGTTCAAATCCCGACCAGGGACCTTTCTGGGTGGAGTTTGCATGTTCTCTCCGTGCATGCGTGAGTTTTCTCCGGGTGCTCCGGTTTCCTCCCACAGACCAAAAACATGCATGTTAGGCTGATTGGTAACTCTAAATTGTCCCTTGGTGTGAGTGAGAGAGTGAATGGTTGTTTGTCTCGTTTGTCTCTGTGTGTCCCTGTGATGGACTGGAGACCTGTCCAGGGTGTACCCCGCCCCTCGCACAGTGATTGCTGGACATGGGCACCGGCGACCCCCGTGACCCAAAATGGAAGAAGTGGGTAAAGATGATGGATGGATGGATGGATAAACATTTGACTTCCAACTGTCCAGCTGAGACCTCACCATAGCAGAACATATCAGTTTATTTAGCACTGTTGTTTTTAAAGATAAAACTGGAAGGACAAAATGAAGTCAAATCATTTAGATCCAAATAAAACACAAACTATATTATTTTTGACAAAAATAAAAGAACAGTTTATTAAACTAATTCAGGCTAAGCCTTTAAAGCACTTCACAGACAAGGTGAGAATGGCAGAAAATTTTATCTTTTTTTATGGCTAAATAAGTTTTTTTTTTTTTTTTTACAAATGCATTTAAAAAAAAAGAAAACTTTTAGCTGTTATACTTCTCCTATCCACTTTTTATTAGAAAATATACTATAATGCTTATTGTAACAAGTTTATTAAAAAAATGTAAAAAAAAATGCTACAAAAAGTAAGAAAAGTAAAATAAAAAAAAATATAAAAGTGACGATCAAGAAACAGGAATTTCTCGTTTTAGTCAGCGATCTCAGAACAGTTTAAGTTTCTCTCAAACGTGGAAGAGGACAGTCAGTCGGAACATCATTGTCCTCGTTTGTGTTTTGCTTCTTGAGCTCTCGCATGGACCTGAAGGCTCGGACTGCCAGCACGGCACCGAAGATGAACACAAACACCGCCAACACCCCGAAGAGTCCGCCCGCAACATCTGCACCGTTCAACTGGCACTCGAAGCCCGTGTGCCCTTTGCTCTTGTACATCTGCTCTCTTTCCTTGCAGACGGGATCGCTGTAAGTTTCCTGGACTTTAATGAAGTAGAACGCAAGCGCAGGGATGTAACCCAAGCCAATCAGGAAGCTCAGCAGAGCCTCCACCGGCAGCACCTGGGGCCAGCGATAAGGGACTCTGAACACTCCCAGGGCGAACGTGGCACAGACGTAGATCATTAACCCCCCAGCAAAGACCATGGTGAAGGCGTACGGGGGCCGTTTGAGCTGATGGAACAGCTTGTCCAGCTCTTTCACGCGGTCTGCGTCGGCTCCTGTGAAGGCACCGGCTCCTCCGAAGTGATAATAGTAAACTCCACCGAGGCTGGCCAGGTCACGGTACCCCCCATTGTTGCTGTACGGGACTCCGGCGCAGATTACAATGAGCAGATTCACAAAGAGCTGCATGAGCTGGCAGATACCTGAAACACACAAACGAGACCCAAGAAAGAGAAAACGGTGATGGATAAAAGCACAAGCAATGAGCTTATCCTGTACGTGTCGACGTTATGTGTGTAAGAAATGAAATATGAGACTATTTGTGGATTATGAAAAGAAGATGACATTTGATGGAAAAGGGGCTTTAGATTTCATTGTTACTAAAAAATAAGTAAAATAAGTAAGCTCTGTTACTTTCATTCTGAGATTTTGCTTTTGGAAACTTTAATTTCTCTTTTTCTGGATGTAAATCACATTTTTTTGGATGATTGTTTCCTCTGGTATCAGATGCTGTGCAGCCGGAAAGATTTTTACTGAAACTTTTTTGGTTTTGGACATTTGTTATGATGCGTAACCATGGCAACAAGGCAGTTTTCTACAACAACAGCAGCTGAATAACATCTCAAAAGCTCAAATAATACCTCAACTATGGCCCCAACTCTCAAATGAGTTGAAAAGGATGTTCTGTGGACGCATTCTCATCTACCTGCCAGCTGTGCTCAAGTACCTGACCACTGAGATCCTGGAACTAGCAGGAAACATGGCTCACAAAAGCGGATAGACAGGATCGTCCCTCAGCACCTACAGTTGACTGTCCACAGCTATGAGGAGCTCGGCAGACTGCTGGGAGGAGTGGCCATCGCTCTGGAAGGAGTTCAGCCCAGCATTCAAGCGGTCCTACAGTCCAGGGGAACCAAGAGGCCAGCCGAGTCTGGGTGGACGGATCGGACGGCATCTGCAGCCAGTTTCTTAGGATCCACTGTGGGATGGACCTTTACAAGAGATCCTTCCTGCCTACAGCCCTCAGCATCTTTAACATCTCTTAATGAAATGAGGATAACGAGTTACAACAACAAAATAATTTCCCTTTGGGATTAATAAAGTATTTTTGAATTGAATTGAATTGAAAAAAAAAAAAACAGCAATACTACATGAAAGTTAAAAGTTTGACAAAAAAAAAGGAAAAACTTTTTCTGTATTTATTCAAACACAGCTGCAACTTCTGTTCATTAAATATTTTTTACTGTATGTTAGAAAATAACAAATAATGAGAAATTGTGTGTAGCCTTAGCGCATCCTAAACATTTTCAATAAATGTGTGTTTAATTCTGCAAGTGGGGAAAAAAAAAATCTAAAGTGTGACTAAAAGGTAAGAAATAAACAAATATGCATAAACAGCCTGCTAAGTTCATGCTATAAAAGTCACCCTCAGAATATGAGTTGTGAATGACTCTCAGCTACCAACACAACCAATTACAGTTCATTATCTATAAAATGGACTGAATTATAGCCATATCTGAATTATTGAAGTCCAGTTAGCCGTGGCGGACATCTTAAACTGGTTTTGTTTCAAAACTTGTTGAGTTGCAGAGGTACACCCGGTGATTGTTCACTGAAAGCTTCATTGAAATCCGTCCAGCAGTTCTTGAGATATTCTGCTAACAGACCGACAGAGTTGACTCTAAATATTTAATGTAAAAAAAAAATTAAAGATCGTTAAAAATATGAAAAAAAAACACATGTCGGGGATCAGTCTCAGCTACCACCACATCACCTTTGACGTAAAATGTAATGCATAGTTTTAAATCAGTTGGCTGTGGCGGCCATCTTGAGTCAGGCTGGCACATATACATGCACTCACACACAAAGGCTTAAACATTTTCACCCACCTTCGCCTTTCGGCTGCAGGTACTAATTAGATGCTAAGGTAAAATCTTAAAACCGTGACTGGCTTCGGTTTTTATGATTAACTGAACCATGCAGTTACCTCTTGTTGTTAGCGCGTATCGGAAATTGTACAAGGCTTTTCTGGGCTCCTGCACGTAATATTCTGCATCGGCGTGATACACCGAGGTCTCTCTGGGCCTGTAAGGAAAGCATCTTTATTTTTAAAGCAAAATTAACCTTTGTAGTTGCCTCCGATTGGTTTCTTACAGTCTTGAGTGTCCTTCATGGTGGTGGTCTCTGTACGCAGGTTCCTCCTTGTAAGAGGGACTTGTCAATCTTCGGTTTCTGTCTTCTTTGACCATCCTGTACCCAGAAGTCCCTCGTCCCTCAACATCTCTTGAGTTTGTATACAGGGACTGTGGCCCCTTGTGGTGGTAATCCCTGCTCCTGTGCTCAGCATCACTCCTCTGATCGTGCCTTCTGTCTGGCATCTTCCTTTTCCTGCAGAAGAAGCTTATGGACATGAATCCTATTAGAGCTTGGGTGTTAGTGCATGAAGATGGAGCCTGCAAGTCACTACAAACAGTGACGCAAGCTGGGAGATTACTTAATGCAACTTTTAACTGGGTGATGCAACTAATTAACAACTGGAACCAATTCTATATTCATGAAGTAGCCAGAAGAGCGAAATACATATCAGCTTACAGTTGACTACCTATGAATGGTAACATTTTAAAAGTCCACTGTTAATTTTTTTTATCAGAATAACTTTGTTAAAAGCAACGATTTTGCAAAAATAAAAAAATAAACCCAATCGATCGAAATGCACAAGTTCACATAAGTTTTACAATTTTAGATAAAAACTCTGATGTATATTTTTTGTTTCTTACCTCTGAATTTCGTACTTCTCGTCACTTGTTTTCGTCTACAGCACTGAGAGCCACAACATGACCCAGTTTCCTGATTCCCTTCCTGCTCCACTCACCTGCCCAGGTGTATCTCGAGGGCCACATCTGATTGGACGATAAAAAAAAAAAGGCGTTACTCGTAGAACCCCGTCTCCACCTGCGCTGAGCCACGCCCACTGATGGTGAAATTCTGCTGTGTAGATTTGATTTCCACAGAATATTAATGTTTTTATCGGGTTTATTTATTTTTTACTTATTTATTGTTTACTTATTGCTTATGTCAAAATCATGTAAACAACTTGAGCATGCATCAGGATAAACAACCCTCGTTTTAGGTTTAGTGTAGACGGAAAATTAATTTTCACGTTTGGACAGAAGCTGAGTTAAAGGAGGTGTTGTCCATTTACTCAAGTCTCTGACAAGAAAATTCAGCGACTCATGCCACAACCCGGACGAGAACGAACACCGTGCACGAGGTCAGCGTCAAGCTCGTGGATTTAATGACATCAACCGAACTATTTCCGCCCAGAAAAAGAAACTTTTCAAAATAAACGTGACTAACGTTCCTGGTACGTTCCCATACATTCATGAAATTAGTTCTCTGCATTTAACCCCTCACATGTGGAGCATTTAGGGAATTGGTGTCTTGCTCAAGGACACTACGGCATGTTGACATGGCGTGGAGTTGAACCTGCACCTCTGGTCCCGAGTCAGCTGCCCCCAAATACTTTATTACCTTTTTGTCCTGTATTTAGACAGTGGTCTGAAGAAATAAATTTGCAAATACTGTACATACAGGACAAAGACTAGTGTTTTGAGGTACTTACACTTTAAACACAAGGTGAAATGTGTGTACCTGCATGTTCATTTTAAATCTTTATTTACTCTTATGATAAACCAGCCACTAGAGAGCCCAAGCCAGTGTATCTCTTGTGCTGCTCCCAAGTCCCAAGGGTAAATTGTGAGGGTTGTGTCAGGAAGGGCATCCGACATAAAACACTTTTGCCAAAACTAATATGCAAGTTCATGTAAGTGACATTATACCGGATCGATCGAGGCCCAGGTTAACAACGACTGCCGCCGGTGCTGTTGACAAACAGGGTGTGGAAATTGTGCTATTGTTAGTTGAAGACCACGAGGAGGGAAAGTTGTCAGGAGACAGAGGGAGAAGAAGAAAGACAAGAATGTAGGACTGAAGGTGGCAACTCTAAATGTGGGAACAATGACAGGCAAAGGTAGTGAGCGGACTGGCATGATGCAGAGAAGGAAGGTAGATGGTTTATGCATCCAAGAGACCAAGTGGAAGGGCAGCAAGGTTTGCAGCATTGGAGCAGTGTTCAAACTATTTCACCATGGTGTGGATTCATTCAACCTTTATTTAGACAGGTTAACCCCATTGAACCTGGAGGACTCATTTACAAGAGAGACCTGATTTCAACAAAGAATGATGACAACAATGGACAATCATAAAAGAGCACATTTTGGAAGAATCTGGATGAAGTGATAGAGAGTATTCCCAGGGAGGAGAGAGTGGTGATTGGAGCAGACCTGAATGGACATGTTGGTGAAGGAAACAGAGGACGAGGAAGTGATGGGTAGGTTTGGTGTCAAGGAAAGAAACCAGGAAGGACAGATGGTGGTGGATCTTGCCAAGAGAATGTAAATGGCTGTAGTCAACACCTATTTCCAAAAGAGGGAGGAACATAAGAGTGGAGGAAGGAGTACGCAGGTCGACTACATTCTGTGTAGAAGAGGAAACCTGAGGGAGATTGGAGACTGTAAGGTTGTGGCAGGGGAGAGCGTGGCCAGACCACATCAGATGGTTGTGTGTAGAATGACTGTTGTTGTGAAGAAGAGAAAAAGAGTAAAATCAGTGAAGACCAAATGGTGGAAGCTGAAGTAGGAAGAATGTTGTGAGAAATTCAGAGAGGAGCTGTTGAAGGCTCTGGGTGGCAAGAAAGAGCTTCCAGATGACTGGACTACTACAGCAACTGTAGTTATAGAGACAGGTAGGAAGGTACTTGGTGTGTCATCTGGATAGAGAATGGATGATAAGGAAACCTGGTGGTGGAATAGTGAAGTGCAGGATGCCGTTCAAAGAAAGAGGTTAGTCAAGAAGAAATATGACAAGGACTGAAGAGAGGCGACAGGAATATAAGGAAAAGGGAAGTAGAGCAAAAAGGATGGTAGCAAAAACTAAGCAAAAGGCATATGGTGAGTTGTATGGGAGGCTGGACACTAAAGAGGGTGAGAAGTATTATACTGATTGGGTAGAAATAGGGATCAGGCTGGAAAGGATGCGCAGCAGGTTAGGCTTGTGAAAGTTATGAATAACAAGTGATGAGAGTGTGATGGGAAGATGGAAGGAATACTTTGAGGAGCTAATGAATGAAGAGAATGAAAGAGAAAGAAGAGTAGAGGTCATAGAAACTGTGGAGCAGGAAGTAGGAAAGATTAGTGAGGGCAAAAGCTCTGTAAAGAATGAATAACAGTAAGGCAGTAGGACCTGATGAGTGGAGGTTTGGAAATTTCTTGGAGAGATGGCAGTGAGGTTTTTGACTCAAATATTCAATGGCATCTTTGAGGGTGAGAAAATGCCTGAGGAATGGAGAAGTGTGCTGGTGCCCATTTTTAAGAACAATGGTGATGTACAGAGTTGTAACAACTACGGGGGAATTAATGTTGATGAGCTACACCATGAAGATCTGGGAGAGAGTTGTGGAAGCAAGACTTAGATGAGAGGTGACTATTTGTTAGGAGCAGTATGGTTTCATGCCAAGAAAGAGCACCAGAGATGCCATCTTTGCTTTGAATCCAATTAATTTCACTTTATTTATATAGCACCAAGTCACAACAGAAGTCGTTTCAGGGCACAGAAAGGAGGATTCTGATGGAGAAGTACAGAGAGTGTCAGAAAGAACCGCATCGTGTCTTTGTGGTTTTACAAAAAGCATTCGACAGGGTACTGTACTTTCTGAATAAACTTTATTTTGAAGCAGGATTTTAATTTTCGCATTTCACTTTTTGGGACGACTACATTTATTTTAAGTAGAGCATTTTAATACTTCCATTAATAATGGAACTTAAATTTTGTCGGGCAGCACGGTGGCGCAACTGGTAGAGCTGCTTCCTCTCAGCGAGCAGGTCCTCGGTTCAAATCCAGGTCCGGGGCCCTTTCTGGGTGGGGTTTGCATGTTCTCTCCGTGCATGCGTGGGTTTTCTCCAGGTACTCTGGTTTCTTCCCACAGACCATAAAACATGCATATTAGGCTGATCGGTAACTCTGAATTGGGAGAGTGGTGGCGCAGAGGTTAGAGAAGGTGGGCCTGTGATCGGAAGATCGCCGGTTCAAGCCCCTGTACCGACAACATCAAAAATGTGGATGGGGTAGGTTAAGTACTCACACCTGCCCTCACCCTCATTCGCCCCACTCTGGGCCCATGAGCAAGGCCCTTAACCCCCATCTGCTCCCTAAACAGGTCTCTCTTGAAAATGAGTTCTCGTGGCTCAATGAGACTACCTGTATAAATAAAGGGCAAATGAAATAAATAAATAAATAAATAAATAAATTGCTCCTAGGTGTGAGTGAGACTGTGAATGGTTGTCTCATTTGTCTCTATGTGTCCCTGTGACCTGTCCAGGGTGTACCCCGCCCCTCGTACAGTGATTGCTGGACGTTGGCACCGGCGACCCCCGTGACCCAAAATGGACGAAGCGGGTAAAAAGATAATGGCTGGATGAATACAATTAAAACATTTCATCTGACATGATAATAAGCATAGAAGCTACACGCTGCTATAACCCTGATATTAACGCCATGTTTTTGGTAGAAAGAAGTATCAAACTTGGGAACAAAAAATAAAAATAAAAATGTCTTGAAGACTTTTATTGTGAAGAGCACAGCCAACGGTTACCGGAAGTATCTACTAGCATAGCTCTGAAGCTGCCGCTATCTCAACCGACCGCGCGATGGTTTGGCTAGCTAGCAACGAACATGGCAAGGCGAGCAGCATGAAGCGCTGAAGCGTTAAATGGATTTCAATTTTCGACCACCAATACATCGTTGGACAGCTGACGATGACGACGAAGTAGAGCAGCGTTTGTAGTTGTTATTACAAACCGGTAAAACCCTCCCGGGGAAGTTTTCATCTCGTCCACGGAGGAGAATCTCACCGGGAGCATGGCTTCCTACAGCAACCAGGTAGCTCGGCTAACGTTAGCCAGTAAAACAACTCGAGCAGGGTTTAACGTAACTGCCGTATAAAGCCTCACGAACGACTCTGGTTCGTGCAATATTTCCCACCAGGCGTGTTTTCAAAATACACCTGTGTTGTGATCAGCTGCGTGTTGTCATTCGAAATAGTGGGCAAGTCGTGTCATTGAAATTCGTAGTGCTGCAAAGTGCTTGCTAATGCCCTCTCCACCCCCCCGCACTGAAACCCAACCAGCATGGCAACATTAGCTAACAGGCCGTGCGCGCCTCCATTCATAGGAGCCAGCGGTATTCTCGTGTTTTTGAAGCGATGACAACCGCGTTCAGCCAAGTTTCACTCAGTCTCGCTCGTTCCAACACCGACGACCGTTTGTTGCCAGATTCCCACGAGTCGTTTACCAATTTGAAAAGTCGCAGGAAAATGCTGCGTGCGTGCTCGGCCCACCTGCTCAGTCTGTCTGACACACGGGCCTTCTAGACTTTTCCTAACTTATTGCGCTGCAGCTTTTGTTAACCACGTATTTACTGGATAAATTGGCAGTTTCGCGGAACACGTGTGCACCTCGACGTTAGCCGTGTCCGAGCAGAAGCACAAGTCGGAACGCATTTTCGAACTTATTTAGCTGCTAGCAAGCTAGTAGCTTTGCACAGGTGGTGCTGTCATTTAGCCGAACACAGAATGCGACAAGCGTGGGCCTTTTTAGTTTTGGCGATATGTTGGCTTGTTTATTTAACCCCAAGCTTTCACGGCTAAACGTGTCCCTGTTTGGGCGACAGCCAGTTTCCGTGCAGCTTGACAGGAATCGTAGCTAACTTGAGTTATTTCTGTTAGCTAGCAGTCATGTGAGAAGGCCCATTTTGAGGTGTGCAAACAGTAACACGCTGGGTCCAAGGATTGTCTGACTGAAATAAAATTATCTATATAATAAATGCATCATACGCATTTTTTTTTCGTTGAATGGACTTTAAACTTTAAAGATACAAGCCCTTAAAAATTATCATTACAAAGAGGTATTTGTAAGCTTTTATAGAAATGAAGCATGATCAATACAATAAGTTGTATTAATTTTCTCATCAGATTTTAACATATGATTTAGTTTACGTTTTGTTGATGACGTTTAAATTATTACAAGAATGTACTCTTATGTTTTGCAAATCATTAAGCTGTTGAGATTATTTAACTAGGTCCACGTGCACCAAGTAACATAAATAAACACAAGAACAAAAGTTAACTAAATTCAAACTTTTGAAAACAATGTATGTAGTCAAAACTCGATGTGTGGTCCCTGCAGCAATAAGACTGCGAGGAAACTTGGCCAACAGGTCACAATGAAAATTCTCAAGGATACTGTATTTGTTTTAATCTGCAACTGTTGATTTAGAAATTACATGGCATTGCAAATGAGACAGTTTTTAAAAAGTGGTGGTGTCTGATTTTACCAAGTTCTCGCTGTTATAACTTGTTACAAAGCTTGTTTTTTTTTATTTTGGCATGTTGCAGGAAAAAATTAAACTCAGAATTCTTAAATTCTTACCCCAAGTTGTCAAACATTAGTTTTTACAATTGACCGCTGGCAAAGTTAAAATGTGTTTAATCCGTTTGCTCGTTGTAACTAATGTTAATATAAATCTGGATATGTTGGGCTTTTCTTATCAGAGACAACAAAAAAAAAACCACGTCATTACCATCAACACTTAATGGTTTGGCTTAGGCAAAGTATTTATTATCTGTGTAAATACATATTCTGGCAGATATAAGTTTTTATCACATATAGTATAACAGGATTATTGGTCACATTTTGGCAGCATGAATCTGCAGTTTAAATGTCACCTTGTTAAAACGGGAAATTTAGTTTATTTTGTTTAAAAAGTGTTCATTTTATTTTTAGAGAATACAATGGTCAAAATACATTTTACACAGAATCTTATTTTTGAACTTTTGATTTCAAATTTCAGAGTTTTTAAAGACATCAAGGTATAAAACCAGGGATCGGTCAGTTACTGAAAAATACAAACTGCTGAATTGGGTTTAATGCCAGAATGTATTTTACTGTCACTCACATGTGCATAAATCTTTGTTGTTGTTCGAAACCGTTTAGTTTTAGCAGTTGGACAACACTACCGTATATTTATTTGGCAGGTTTTGCTCACATTTCTAAATCAAATAAAAGTTGAGGAGTAATGAAATGCTAGAATATCTTGTTATTACACTTTGTAACTTGTAAATCACTGTTGCCAAATATCAGTCATTGTCAAACTTCCAAGTAATTTGTTTTTGTGGTCGTTCAGCTCATAATCTGCATTCTGGTTGTTTTAATATTCTGTGCAGACACATATGCAAGGTGCCGTCATTAAACTATTGAAATCATACATGTTTTTTTAATCTGTTGTCCAAATGAACAGCAAGAGAAGCTTAGCGTGGTATTCATGGCATGCCTACAGAAAGAAGCTAAGGGACATTCTTTCTGTTGTGATTGTATGAGCCATCCTGAGGCCGTTGGATTACGCTTGGCTGTTTGTCACTTGTAGTGCCGTTTCAGCAGAGTGGGCCCTCGTGCGAGGCGAGATACAAATGCTCGAACTGCACTTTCTTTTCTCTTCACGTTTCACAATCCGCTATTTATTGCTCTGACGGGATTACCAGCGTGGTCTGTGATTCCAGTCGGCCTTTTCTCAGTTGCTTCGTTTCTCACATGTGCATGTTGCTGTGGCTCAACGTTTTCTTTTAAAGCTGTTCAGGTTTGTTCGAGATGTAACGCAACATTTTTAGAAATGACATGTCGTTTATGAAAACCTTATTAAGTTACACAAAAAAATAAAATTTGATGAACGAAGAAGGTGCTTTGATGGATCGCTCTTTTTAGTAACTAATCATTTAATACGTTCTTGCGTCTTTAATTCGTGTTTGTTTTTTGTCAGTTTCCTTGTAGTGGAGTGTATAAAGTAGGTTTTTTTTTTCTTACCTAATTTTGATATTGGCAAATGTTCCTTCAGCGCAGAAAACAAAACTGTGAACAAGCCAAGCTACACAAGAAAATTTTAATGTAATCTAATACTAGAGTGGACAAAAAACACTGTTAACTTAAAATATTTACACACCTTTACTTTTACCCTACACTGTGTTTTATCTTGAAGAATTGGCAATATAAGAGTTTGTGTGCGACACCATGTACATCCATATTTCATGGACTGATTCGGTTTAAAGCTCAAGTGACGGTGTTAAAATCCATAATTTGTGCATGCTTCAATGAAATTAAGGCCTGAAGCTGTGAACTGTTCTGAAAACGGTTTCTCTGAGAAGTTGTTTGTACAATTTTTCAGAAAATGTCCCTGCTTGTTCAGACTTAGTGGTGCGTCACACTTGCCCTATTTCAACAAAAAATATTTTTTAATGCTTAAATAATTAAAGTCTTGTTACACGTTTCCCATAAAGCAAACTAAATTCAATTGACTACAGTGACAATTGGGTAACTGGTTCTCCTGAACATGACCAATGAACTCCATGCTGCCTCACAAGCTTTCCATCGAACCCATTACAGTAGCCCCTCGCTACTTCGCTGTTCGTTAATCGTGCACTCGCTCTGTCACAGTTTTTCAAAACAAGATTGGACATGACACAGTTGGTTCATTGATGGATGATCCACACAATCAGCATGGAATTTTTATTTAAATTACATTATTTTAAATGATTTAGCATCCTGCTGCAGCTGATCAGCTGTTCTCCGTGCAGAGCTGAGAAGTGGGCGTGGCCAAGAGCAGGTGGCTGAGAGCAGCAGAGGCAGGGAGCTGAAATCATGACATGCTGTCTCTTTTAGAGCGTTTAGAGTTTAGAAACATTGTTTAGAATACTGCAAGAATGTGGGAAGGGTTTAAAACACCTTTATTTTATATATATATATGAAATAAAGTACTACTTACTAATTGTACTACTATTCCTAGTTGGCGGTTTTCCACTTATCGCGGGGCTTCAGGGTACGAATCCACCACGATAAACGAGGGACTACTGTATGAAGTTTGTAAGAATGAATGTGGACCATCATCCAGAATGTGGAGCCTTTGCAAATAACGCCAATGAAAGGGTCCTCGGGCACATTTAACATCTTAAATTTTAATAGTTGTTGTTTTGTTTGGAGAAAGGCTTCGGGTGTTGGATGGACAAATATTCAGCCACTTTTTCTGTTCTCTTCAGTGAAGGATTCATCTTGTAATTATTAACCTTGTATGCGCCGGTTTTTGATTTTACCTAAGGAGAACTTCTAAAGCATAACTCTATATAATGCTAACGTCTGTTAGCATTCTGGTTAAATGTTTCTCGCACATGTAAATTACTGCCTGAATGTATCGTCCTGTCAGAAATCAAGAATGTGACACCTGCCTTACTCTTGATTTGCACTCTGTACACAAGTGCTGCCTCAGGTCAACCCACTCGTCTTAGACCAGTCGTTCCTCGAGTCAACTTAGAGCCGTTCGTTCATGTTTTATGCATGACTCAACATTTTTATGGTTCGCTTTACCTTTGCACAAGATAGGATTACAGTACTGGGTTGGTGCTGACAGATTTTATAAGATAACTTGTACACAGATATCAAGTGATAGCAGCTTTTGATGAAGCTCCAATTTAAATCTACGTTATTGAACGTATTATCTTTGAGCTGGTCTGTACCACCTTCATGTGATCTCACGTTGTCAGGCTTTTAAAAAAGCATCTCCTGAAATTTGAGACAGGTCTTCTTCTAGTTTGAGTTCATTAGGTCATTTTTAAGTGATATGAGCAAAATAGGTTTAGTAAAATCTGTTTTAAAACATTTTATTCTTTGTGATGAATGTTCTTATTGATTTCTTTTCGCAGTATATATTTGGGGAGTTCAGCCCTGATGAGATCAATCAGTTCTTTGTGACGCCTCGATTTTATGTTGAGGTAAGAAGTTTTAGTCTTTTTTTTTAGTGTGTGTGTGATGGTTAACCATTGTTGAACTGAGCACCGACTAAAAGCATCAGGGCTCGTGGGTCATGTGACAACAAAAACAGTTTTGACCCAATATTTTCCAGAAGAACTGAGTTGGCTACACACATTGTAACGTGTATGCTGTTATGAATATAAATGATAATAGATATTCAGCTCATTTAAACATTTTCTTTATTTAATTTCTAATTTGTATTTTTCACAGCTTCCTCCGTTCAATGACAAAGTTCCGTGCGTCAGTCAGTCTCCAGGTATGTATGGTTTTTACTTTCTGTGAAATGCTACAGAATGCAGTCATTAGTCGAATTTGAAGTTTCCTGAAAATAAAACATCAAAGTACCCTGCAGGAATCTTTTATCATTCATTTACCTGTAAAGTATTTTAAAATCAAGTCTTTAAAATGTAACAATTGGACCCAGGCTTGGTGGAAAGATGCCTTTTGCATGTTTATTTTTTGCAAATCTTTGCATATTATAATTATATCTTAAGGTGATTTGTAAGTAGTATAAAACTGTAAAAATACACCATTTTCGTTTTAAGATTTTGGCCCTCCAAATTAAAAATGTCACTGAAGCCACCTTCCCTTTTAGTGGTGTCCATTTGCACATAACATTTGCCTTACCTTGATTTGTATTGATCATTCAGGAAGTTACTGCACTCCTGCTGTACCTTATATTATGGAGTCAATGGGACTGCAGGTTTGCGGTGAGTTGAAAGGTCCAACACCATGTGGCTTGACAAGTTGTCATATATTATCTTAAAAACTAAAACTCCAGGTTTCAACAACCGGTGGCTTGCTAAACTGTGCATCTGTATTCTTTTTCTTGCCTGTTGGAATTTTTCTTTAGAGCTTTGCATGCTCAAGATACTCTTTTAAGTATCTTTCTTTTGCATTTAATGCATTTGCACTACTGCAGGGCTCTAAATTAAACGCATTTTATTGAACTTTGATCAAAATCTTTTTAAATATGGACGTAGCTATTGTTTTGTGGCTGCTAACCTGTTTAAATTTATACCTAGAGTTTTCTGCTAATTGCAATTTACAGTAATGAAGTGTTATTTCAGTAACTCTGAACAGAATCTGCTTTGGTCCCAGTAAAGGAAAGTATCCGCTCTTATAATAATCTTTACTTCTGCAGAAACTCAGGGTTTATTCTTTTTTGTGACCGATCAGCTGATGAAGCCACTTGGATGATTTTTCTAATTTGCACTTACTAATTTTTCCTATTTATATTTACTTCCACCTTGCTGTTTTCACTGCATCTTAATAATCTCAATCCTTGCAATATATATATATATATTTATTAACATGGAAGTTAATTTAAAGCAATGTTTAAATATATACAACTTTAAATGCATAATGTGTGGACCATTTGCTGTATTTCATCATTTTTGTTATATTGTCATAACATGTTTTAAACTTGTCTATTTTTGAATTAATTGTTAAAATGTGTTCAACTTATTTTAAGTAGTAGAATAAAATGAATTATAAATTTCTTTGTAGGTTTATCAAAATCTGTTAGAGCAACATCTCAACAGATTACACAGACTATATATATATATATATATATATATA